TACCTACCAAATCGGGGATGCTCTATCTTTTGGTGGTATTACTGACTACCGGTTTGGACCGGAAGTGGGTTAAATTTAGTTTATATTTTTTCGTTTTTCAGTAAGAACATTTGCACTTATTTCAGAAGTCCAGGACGATTTGAAGTTTGAAGGCCATTTAGAGGTTGAAAAGGGCACTTCCGAGAAAAAAGTTTTTGCGTTATTCAATAAACAGGTGGACAGGTGGTCTGGGTCAACTGAAATGAGTTTTCAGTGAAAAAATACAAAATAAAATTAAAAGATCTAATCTGCGCTGGTAACAGCATTTTTTAAACGACAATTAAATTTCCTGCTTCAGTTGTTTGTTAATACAATTTTTAAAGCAATCGATGAATTTGGGCCCTCGTTGGTGATGGCACAGTATTAGCTCGTATTGGATGAATATTGTTCATTAGCGTAAAACGTAGACATAAATCGATTCAGATGGCCAATCGTTAGAAGAAACTATCGTAGCAATCTAATGTGAATTTGTTTGAAAACACTTGGGACTTTTCGGTCAGCAAACATTAAGATAATGGACTTAAAATCAATGGCACGATGATTCCAATGACAAAGTCTCTCTACATAGGTTCGTCGTAAAACATACAAAATTCTTAATACGAACTAAAAGACTGAATAAACGTTCGCTTTCGGCAACAGTCACCGGAATAGTGCAGAAGATTCCGAGTGATGCACAGACATTACTGAATAATTGGTCCATCTTCAATTCGTGCAACTTGTTTAAGAAATTGAAACTGAGTTAAATTTTAGGACCCCAGATTTGCCTCATGAATAGCCTTTAAATTACTAATTTCTGCTATAAATCGATAGAGACGTCCACATCGTAAGCTTCACAAAAGTACGCTGCTTACTCTTGCAGGTTTTCTTCGTGCGTATTGAAAGATTTGTAGCGCGTGATTTTTGCTCATTCAAGCTCCTTGGATAAATCAGATAGTCTTGTCTTGTTTCCAATGGGGCATTTCAACAGAACTGATCTCCAGAATTATAATCCATTAATTCCTGCGGTAACTCGTCAGAATTGTGTGCTTCTTGCTTTACATCTATTTTCTTGGAACGTATTCTTGTTTCAGCCGTCAGATTCATATTTTAGTAGCTTCAAGGGATCTCTTTAGTTTAGTCAGACGAGCTGAACAATTTACACTAACAGACCAACGAGTTTGGAGCATACAAAATTCGTTGGTTTTTTATGCTCGCGCTCCATAGTTTCCATGTGCTTATTTTTTGAAATCATAGCCACCATTGAAATGTATCCTTCTTCTTTCAATTCATCACAGGATAATGTTTTTTCATACATACATACATATTGAAGAAAAACACACAAATCCATTTTCAATGTAATCATTTCTTTTCATGATTTATCATATTTGAACTTTTCAAAATTTGTTTATTTGTTTACCTTCCTGCCGTTCAACCGGGTCCGGGACAATAGAATCCCCTGACTCACTCTCTCGACGGGCTTGGTAATTCCATACGCTCACCAGGAAAAGCATCTAATAAGTTCAAGGGAAAAGTTGAGCTTTTCGGCTCTTGGACTAGGATCAAACCTTCTTAGAAGAAGGAGACAGACACGGAGCATGATTATAGATAGGGCTGCCAACTTGGCTCAAACCGTGCCATTTTTGGCCCTTCTTAATTTTCTTAATCTTAATTTTGCAATTGCCACAAAGTGCCAAAATAGCACTTTTGAAAAATAGTAATATTTCAATACATTTTTGTGAAATCCTTTGCATGTACTTCCTTTTCTCATCTAAAATTTTCTAATATTTTTTTATTTGGCACGTTTTGGTCCTTTTTTATCCTCAATATGGCACTCCATAGCTAAGTATGGTTGGCAGCCCTGATTGTAGGATTTTAGTAACTTTAACCCCCTAGTAGGCCAATTTTTTTATGAGTTGAAAAATTCAGGAATGGGTGATTTTAGCACGAGAAATCCAAAACTGATATCCATTTCGATCTGTGACAGTAACTTTTTCCTACAGGGGAGAAAAACCAAGACCGTCTGGAGACGGGCTCGCCGATATACTTACACATAGTTTCAGCTTTATCTTACACAATGTTGACCTACGAACCGGCAATGCCGTCTGCAGACGGTCAAAAATGCAAAACTGGGGTTTTATATGTCGGCAAGCCGGTCTGTAGACGGTCTGTGTTCGAAAGCAATTTTCTCCATTTCGAATGGTGACATAATTATAAAACTTATATTAAAATACGGTGCTTTTAACAACAAAATCCACCGAATTTTTTTATATCAAAAAATTTGTCAAAAGAAAAAATTTCTTTAATTACGAATTTACTAAATAGCAAGAAATAATTAATTTTAACCGTGTTTTCAAAATCTGTAATTAAACTGCCGATTAAAATATAACGGATTGACATAACGGATTAAAGTTTACTTCGCCGTAAGGGTACGAGTTTTGTCTAAGGATCGCGCCTTACGAATATAGAAAAAAATGATTATAGGTGCACTAAAAAGGTGTTTATTTAACGACCGTCTGGAGGCGGTTCTGCCTACTAGAGGGTTAAACTTCAACAAGTGTTTGTGTGAACCGATTGAGAATTGCGTAATTTGCATGAACTTCCAAATTATCTGCTGCTAGGGGTACTGTTATCTGCAAAAAAAATTGGAATCAAAGAGTATGAACTGTGATAGCTGAACCTCTGACGATTTAGAATTTAATTTGTAATTCAGTGGTTTTTGCATGTACGCCAAATAAACTGCAAATTGGAAAATTGCTCATAAACAAAACAGCTTCGCTGTTTAGTCTATTGCATTTTCAGTGTCAAAGCAAAACTAATTTATGCAACAACCTTATAAAACTATTGCAAAACATAAAAATAAAAATGCGGAAAACTAAATGTCAACACAAAATGTTGGAAAAAATTGTCTCACACTATACCAAATTGCATTTAAAATGGTCAAGGGGACTTCACATTTCCATTACATCACATCTTTAGTAAGTATTTTTCGCTTGAGGCGAATCAGAATAGCTCTGTGAGTTGAGTAAGCAAATCAAAATACCAGACTATTTACATTAGTAAAAAAAAAATTACAAAACTAAAGTTCAACAAACACTTTTGTCTACGCTAAATCTCAAGCGATGTTGATTGCCGATTGGTTCGCTCACTGCAACAGATCACGTCTCGACGTCATATCGCATCGTCACATCAAATCAACCTTTTGCCATAACAACAACAACAATGTAGCAATGCAACAAAGCCAAAACAATAACAACCGAGATGAATGCAGATAACAAAGAATACTGTTGGGGGGGAAGAAATAACGAAGCTTTGTGGCAAAGCGAGGGATGGAAATAAGTGGCATAAATGCGATGGCACCTTCAATTTAATTGAATCAGCGCATTGAATAGAAAAATTTATTTGTTTGTTTATAAATACTGCTTCATACTTGCATACAAATGTATGTATGTACATATTTATATCTTTTTATGCTTCCCTCGGTGGGGTAAGATCAAAAATTAGATCAAGAGTTAAACTGTACAATTGTGTTGTATACCGCTTTGCTTTCAATCTCTTCTAACATTTTCTTGCTTCAGTAGGGGTTGTGTAATATTGTTGACTTTTTTATGACGCTGTTGATTGTTGTTGATACCAATGCTGTTGCCGTTGATGCAATCAATTTAAATTGATTTTAATCAAATTTAATTTATTAATGTTGTTGCGCCATAAATTCCAGCAACCATTGCAAATTGCAGCAAGCAATGGGAGTAGAATATTTCTGCTGCTGCTACGGAAGGCGAACACATCACGAGATTGATTGCATTGATTGTTTGGCTAGTGGGTGCCTAGAGTCGCCTGCAGATGACATCAGTAATCAAGCGGCATAAAGCTTTACGCCGAGTGCTTGGTGTTGCCCACTAAAGGCGAGGCAAGACGAGAGTAGATAAATATTCCACTAGCCGCTAAAATTGTATGCATATTTATTCGCACACCGTCTTCAAAAGGGTCCCAACTGAAAATAGTACGTTCGTGAGAAAATGCGAAAAACTATTTCGTAGCACATGCTAATCATATGGGCAAGGGCGACTTTACCTTAGGTTTTTTTTAAAGAAATTATAACAAAAATTAGCTGCAGCTTTTGCTGAAAGGTAAATAAAATCTCTGTCACATTTTAAGCGCATAATTTCAAAAATGCCAAAATTTGAGTTGTGACTCTTTTGTAGACGGTGTGTGATACGTAAGTCCGTTCCCGATTTCTCTTTTCATTTTCTTTACTTAACAAAAACCTTCGTTTGCTCTTTTTGTCAGCTTTTATCTGCCCATTGACATTTGAGCTTCTTGCGCGCACGTCCCATCGGGGATTTCAATTGCTTGCCCGCTTATTGAGTTTTCTGCTAGAATATGAAGTTGATGGATTGAATTTGTGTGCTTTTAGGCACATTGCAGATATTATAATTACTTTGCTTATTTCATTAATTTCTAGAATTTAACCTACTAAGACACTTGAAATAGCAGTTTGGAAATTCATGTTTTTA